GCGAAGAGCAGCTCGCCTCCCGCTCTCCCAAACCACCCGCAGCCCTGCAGGGCTGGCAGCGGGGCCGTGGGTTCGCGTCGTTCGGGCAGTGGTGACTTGCGAGTTTGGTCTAGTGGGAAATTTCTGCCTTTCTAGACAAGCTGGTTTTTATTATTTTTCCATGCAAATGGGCGGTGAACCTGCAGCCTGGTTTGCACAGAGCCCTCTGGCAGTGATTGCAAGTACTTGAATTACTGGAGTCATTAGATGAGTGCTTCCAAAAGCAGTAATTCTCTGCTTTGACACGTTCGCACACTCGCTGGTTTGTGATTTTGATTTCTGTTCTCTGAACTGGTTCCCTGTGAGTGGGACCGGTGTTAGGAGAGGAGGAGAGGGCTGCAGTTGCAGCTCTAGACTGTGCAGTAAGGCAGCGGTGTGGGGAACTGCTTCTTTCACAAAATGCTTTGGTTTTTAGCAGTGGGTGATGTGTCTGGGAGTTCCCTGCAGTTCCTGCGCGTGACAGAGGAGGGGTAGGATGCAGGCGTGGATGACGGACCGTGGCTCTGAGCACAGCAGAGGCCTCCGGCTGAGTCTCCCCGCCCTCCTCCGCCACGGAGCGAGGTCCCCCGGGGGCTTCCCGGTCAGGCGTGCTGCTCTCCAGTTCGTGATCTCATGGTCTGTTCTTTGGCAGCCATCTGCACACTGCAGCAATAAAATAAAATGTATTTTTTGGAAGCCCTTGGTGGAGACCTTGGCAAAGAAATGTCCGTAACATTGATTGGAGAGATCTGTTGTCATCTATGCCATGAACATGTCTACTAAGGCCAATTAATGCAGGGTAGGGGCTTGTAAAAATGTAAATTAGTCCCCTTCCCAAACTCTTGCAGTCTGGTAATCTGCAGCTTCAGGTCACAGCTGGCCACACAGCTTCAAACACCACGATTACAAGGAGAGCTCTTCAAAAAAACCCCAACCAACCAGCCCACCAGTGCACACAGAAGACACAGCCAGGAGGTTATGGTCACGGCGCGTAAGCCAGACGTGGTCTTGGAGGAGGCTGTCCTTGCTGCCGGGCTGTCCCGGGTCTGCCTGATGCAGCTCTGACAGCGGTCTCGCAGACGCAGCGGCGGTGACAGTTGGGGCAACGAACGCGTTCCAGGCGTGCAGACTCAGCCCGAGGGTCCGTCTGGTTGTGAGGTCTCCTGGGTGTCCCTTCAGAGCCCCTGCAAAGTCGTGGGGATCTCACAGTCACGATACAAGCGGTTTCTGCTGTGGAGTCACGTAAAGCCGCTTTGGCACGTGCATGAGCACCAAGGGCCAGAGCGCAGCTCCGCAGGGCCGGCCTTCCACCAGAGCGCAGCTACTCGAGGTTTGGCCAGTTAGCCTCCCGTTCCCGCAGGGCACTGTGTGTAAGTTTGCTGATGACACCAAACTGGGAGGTGTGGTAGACACACCGGCAGGCTGTGCTGCCATTCAGCGTGACCTGGACAGGCTGGAGAGTTGAGCAGAGAGGAACCTGATGAGGTTCAACAAAGCCAAATGCAGGGTCCTGCACCT